TTCAACACCCTGCATCGTTCGGAGAATACTAAAACCCGAACAAATGCCGGTCGAGGTTACGCCGTTCTGTTTAACCTTTTTAGCCCACCGCGTCACAGCGTCCAGCTATTTATAGTCGGAAACTTTCGATGTCGTGAAAATTCCCTGGTCCGAGGAGTTATAGCATAACGCCTGGATATACCGTGAGTCGACGAAGCGTTCGGTATTTCAAGGTGGACGCGCGGACCGCTTTCGCGTAAAATCATGCGGAACCCTAGCTTCTCCCGGGACCTTTCACGCCCACGCTCGGTTCACCCACAATGCTGCCTCGCCCTTGTCTCTTTTCACAGTCCAAACGATGTCCAGTCCGAAGCTACCCCGGCCCACACCATTGGTCGATTATTAATAAAAAAAAAAAGCTGCATACGTTCGACGCGCATCGGGTGGGAAGATAATTGAAACTGGTACGGCAATTAGGTTAAACGAACTGAGCGACTCTAACGATGGGTGCGATACCATCGCATGGACGCGAGAAAACCTCCCCGCGGTAGGTCCCTAAGGAATCGCGAGTTTTATTATGTACGAAGGACGCTTAGCAATAATCAGCAAAAGTGAATACCTTTTTCAAGAATGCTAAATTCGCTCGGTGACTTTTAAACACGTATCGTGCGAACTTTATTTTCATGCAAGATGTGTTTGAGCTCGTTTCGAATTCGTTACAATTCCTATTTGCAATATTTTTGAGAAATTAGAGTTGATGAAACCGCTTATAACAGCGCTGTGATCGAAAGAGCGAGAAGCGGCAGGAATCCGTGAAAAAGTGAATACCTGACAGAGCGAAAGCAACCAGGCTATATATCTATTGATCGTTCATTCATGCCGCCCTTTCGGCCCCTCCTCGGCCATTCGAGCCGATCCTCTTCCATCCCCTTTCGCGTCCTCTTCCGTCCGCGACTCCTCGTCCGGCGTCGTCGTCGTCGTACACCCTTCCTTCGCCAGCGTCAGAGCCAGTTCTGCCAACTGCGAATTCGGGTTCGCACGTGCCGCCTCCCCTACTGCCAACTCAGGCGCGACGCGGAACGTCGTCATCAAGAAAAGCGCTGAACCTCGACGAACGGTGCAATACGAGACACGACGCACGAAGCGTCGCGATGATGCGTGCAACGGTTATTTTACGGTTCGCGAAACGGGAATTTTGACCCAATTCCGCGGTTTTTTACGATCCGAGGAGAATGGACCCGGAGGCAGGCGGCGAGAAGATAGCGTTGCGCCACGGGGGCTGTCCTCTTTCTCTTCCCTCGAAACGTCCGACGCGATTTTTGGGTCGTCAGCTAGACGCGAGGCTCCCTTTGTCGACTCGAGAATCTATCTCTCCTCTCGACCGAATAACAAAGTTTCCCATTCCGCTCCGTTCCATTCCGCTTTTCTTTCTTTATCGCGACCAGGTTACCTCGATGCGAACAAATGGACGGAATATTCCCCATGCGGTCCGGCTCGGAGCTCGTAAATATCCACAAACGACGAAATCCGCGAAGAACATAGCGCTGTAAATAGAACGAATAGCGGATAGTTTTCTCCGACGTTTCGCCAGAGATCATCGAGCTCGCGATGCGAGACTTTGATATCGATCCGCATCGAGATTAGATACACGAGGGCCGCGCGATTAGCCGGAGCGAACGACCAAACGACCCACCGGCACGCTTCGAGCCATTATTTAATTGGCAGTTACGTAACTGCTGCCTTTACGTGAAGAACCGGTCCTACGGATCTCTCGTAAATTAATGTCCTCTCCCGAGGACTGGGATCGTCGATCTCCTTCCGAAAAGACCCTGACTAAACTCGACTTCGTTTACCCAGTAAACCTTCTATCTGAATTACGGAACGAGTGCTAGAATAGCTCTAACATTCCAAACCATGCACCTGCAAATCAGTTCAAAGAGTAAATACGATCTCCGCGGTGACACTTCTCACGCGTTTCCAATGATATCAAATGGATGAACATACATGAACCAAAAAAATATCTTTAAAGAGAGTACACCGTCTTTATCGTTTAACTGTTCTAATTCTCGTATATTAAAATATATGAAATATTAAAATATTTCGATATAAAGGTGACCTTATAGACGTGTTATAATTATCCACCGCATGGACGGTCCTTGTACGAGTTTGGAAATTTTAGTCGGGTTGCCGAGATACGGTAAGTTTTCACTTTTAGGTGCTCCAACGAGCGCAAACTTGGTGCGTAGAGTTTGGAACTTAGATCGCTTCAAGAGCGATATTCGATATCACATTCGACACCTCCACGACAAAGCTTTATATGTTACGAACAATTTCGGTAACATTTGCCTATCAAAGCTTTATAGAGACCTCGGTCATTCTCTGGGTTTCGAGGCCTGTTAAATATCGGCGTTTCGCTATTCGAAGCTCGTCTCCGCGAAAGTATTGCCGGAGCTTTAAAGAAATGGAAGGATGCCGATTTAAAATTGGAAGGAAAACGGGAGCGACGTTGAAGCCAATTTCGGATAATAGACGACTGCTCGTCGCACTGGCGAATGGGACGCGCTCCGAATCGGGTCGTCGACCTTTATTTTCGATTCGTTCAGTGTAGCAAAAAAAAAAAACTGAGGAAAAAAGGGAAGGAAGAAAGGAAATGCAGGGAAAACAGTACTAACGTGGAGCAAAAGGTGTCGCGCGGGTAAACGGTCCGGATGCGGATCCGGATGGTTTGCCGCTTTAATGAAAGCGATAAATCTCTCCCGCGTAGAATAAATATCTATGCGAGGCGAGCCGAATTGCGATCGAGTCAACGAGAATTCGAAGTGGCCGCTGTTCTTTCTATTTACGAGCTACAATTTGTAACGCTGTATGGAAATGAACTGCGACTCGTATCAAATTAACGTACGCGAGTAGGATACGGACACAGATCGGGCTCCCCTAACATTTTTTCATTCTAGTGCAAAGTCCCCTTAACACAATATGCATGTTTAAAGAAATTAAAACTAATACATAAACTTATTATTATTGTTATATAGCATGCACTTAACTATGACGTGGTTAAACGGAATTCGATACAAACCATATGCCATAGGTTAATATGAGTAATAATAAAACATGTAATTTTGTAAGATTTATTTTATTAATCAAAAAACTGTCGAGAGTGCTGGCGACAAAACTGCATACCCAGGTGTATAACCCGAATTCAATTTTCGTGCACGCTTTCCAAGGTATTTTCTCGTTTTATGACTCTTCGTACGTCAAAATAGTCCTCGCTTTTAATTGTGAAAAACTCGTGCACAAAATATTATTTTTTATTTAATATTATATGAATTCATAAAAATAAAAATCAAACGATTCACGTTTTTATATAAATGGATAAAGTAAATAACGGTGTGCATCGAGAACCGTTCAACCAGAACACAGTCAAGTGCATGCGTATTCGTACGAAATTCAAAGTCGATTTTTTCGAGAAGAAAATCTCATATGATGATATGATTCCATATTTTCGACTTATTTTCTCAAGTACAGCCAGTCCCTCCACAGTTGTACACAACAATATTGGGACACCCTGTATATTAATATTAAAATATAATCAATGCACAGGAATGCCTTCGTTAAAGGAAGTCGGCGTAGTCAGTTCTTTATACTACTTGTCTGACCAGTAGCGGACGCTATTACTGTAACCGAGCGTTCCATACTTAACAGATTCATTTCTCTGCAATAGTATCCTCCTTTCGAAAATGATTCTACGAATTACGTGATATTCACACTCCTATTTCTGAATGAAGATAACGTAGCACGGAATTCGGTTGCCGCAATCTGCTCCAAGTTTAAATACGTATCCCCACGGTATCGTAACACGGCGAGAAGCTGGGGCAGTTTTTCGTCTAATTATTTTAATATCGCTCGGGAGAGTTAACCGAAATCTAAGTTTAATCGGATCCGCTTTTATACCACAAGTCCCTTTCTCCTTTAGAATCCACACTCTAAGCAGACAGAGGCGTACATCACTCTACCAACGGTTAACCGTTCTAAAAATATGACACGCTGGACGAGGTAGAAATAATTCAACTCGTTTCGTTAGCATTAAAATTGAATCGATACGGTGAAAATGGAAAAATAACGTTGGCTGGTACACGATTCACCTTACGAACGAGGATTAATAAATCCCAATTAATGGACAGAAATCGTTTTTTATCGTCTACCGTTCGTAACAACGGGTACGAGGGGTTGGCGAATTTCCTACGGGGTGGTAGCGTCGTGTTTAACTGCATCGTGCTCGCGAATACGAACAGACAGGTCTAGCCGATAAGCGAAGCGACGAAGGCTACGATAATGACGCGATAAGAGCGAATAAACTGGGCCGGAACTAATACCGATATTAATACGACGCACGACAAACAGAGTACGAACAGCGTCAACACCTTTTATGATATTAATATCAAACGTTGACGGTGGAGTACCTAACACGTGTCTTTATACTTGTTTCCATTTCGTCGTGAGTATAATAAGGAAGGTGAAGTAATGTTTCGACAAACGAGTACTGCGCTCGCAATTGCGTTCATCCTGATCCGAACGAGCAGGCGAAATGTTTATGCGCCAAACATAACAGCCGATTGATCGAGACCGAGGTGAGGTCAACTAATACGAATTTCGCAGAGATGTTAACAACGCGCAACGAGCGCGCGTTTATCAGTTAAAATTCGGTATGTCTGACGATACAGCAAGGAACGTCGAGGACATCCTGAATCGCGTTTGTAAATTACTTCGTCGAGAAACCGACGTCTCTCGCTTGATTACGCGGGAGTACCATGAGTAACGTTGATGTTTCTAAAGCTGATCGACCGACAGGTTAGAAACATCTAACAAATGCAGAAATATGCCGCGAACGAACGCTGTGATTAGAGAACAAGGAAGCGGTTTCGAGTAGCGGGACGAGATTGGTCCTCGTCAGGGAAATCGCGAGCGGGCCGGGCGAAGAGAATCGGAGAACAAGGGTCATATTCCGGTTTCGGTGAACTCACCTCTAGAGGGAGGCAGGGGCTGGTTGCGGCCATGTTCCTACATGCGTTCGAGCCTCTGCCCTGCTGGCGATACCCTCTTCGTGCTGAGGCACCACACTTTTCGAAACCGCACTACACTCGACGAACAGCTTCGTCTCGCACGACGAACAACACAGTATAGCCCCTTTTCCCAGTAGAACCAAACCGAACGAAAAAGAAACAGAAAAATATATCACCACGTACCACCTTTATCTTCTACGTATCCCTTCTTTCTCCCGATTCCTCGGCTTTTCCTTGCTCGATCGGCGTTAAGACGCGTCGTGTCGTCGCTCCTATATCGTCGTTTCCTCTTCCTCGCGATCGCACGGTCACGTGAAAAAAACGATCGCTCGCGGAGAGACTCGGAAAGACTGGAGAGAGGGAGAGAGAGAGAGAGAGAGAAGAGAGGGGGATGCACCTCTTCCTTTCTCCTAAGCTCTAAACTCTCTCGATCCCGAGGACGAGACGAGCAGATCCAACGCCACTACCTTCCTTTTCTTCTTCCTCGTCTTCCTCCAGCACCTCTCTTCCTCTCCTTCTTCCTCCTCGTCGCCGACGTCGTCGTCTTTCCTCCCTTTCGAGTCTCCCTCCCCTCCTCCCCTGTGGAAACGCACCGGAACGAGCTCTCGATCGGTCTCGCGACGACGAGCACGATTTCCTTCTCTCCGCGGGTCCCGATCCCGATACCAATCCCGATCCCGTTTCTGGACCTCGTGCACTCGTACTCGCACCAGCACCGAAACCAGTACCAGCACCAGAATCAGCACCAGCACCAGCACCAGCACCGACACCTGCACTCGCACCTGTTCCTCTTCCACCTCCTCCGCCTCCACCTCCAGCTCCTCCTTCGCGTCCACGTCCTCTTCGACGAAACCAGCCGCTGTTTTTGCCGACTCTCGTCGATTCCTCGTCGACGTTGACGTTGCGCGCTTTCTTTTTCCTCCCGCTGCTCCTCCGATGATCGTCGTCGTCCTCGCCGCCGCCGTCAACCGCCACCGTAACCGTACCGCCTTCTGGCACGCATAACAAACGCACTCGCGTCCCTCACCGTCTCCGAGCGGCGACCACGAAAACCCTTTCACTGATACCCGCGCGCACTACTCTCCTTCCTCTCTCTCTCCCTCTTCACTCTCTCGTCTCCCTCTCTCTCTCCCTTTCTCCCTTTCTCTTCTCGCGTCACTCGATTCGATTCGCGTCCACGCGTCCTACGTCCACCGCCGCTACGTCCTTTTTCCGCGTTTCTCCTCGTTCCTCTCGGACTCTCGCACGATGCCCGCTGCTACCAGCTTCTCGGACGAGTAGACTTTTCTTGGTGGTCCGCGTCCCGTTCACCGATAATGCGCGCACGATACCGAATACGCTCCGACCGAACCGCGAACTTCTCCAGCAGGGACGAATCGCCCGAATCTTATTCTATCCTTTCCCCTTTCTCTCTCTCTTGTCCGTATCACTCGGCCGGAAGTTCACGCACTACCTACGTTCCCCGAGCGCCGGAGCTCGTGGCCACAGCGGGACGGTCGCTCGACTACGCTCTCTCGCTCCTCCACCACCACCTACGCGCGCCTCCTCTTCCTCCTCTTCCACCCAGTTCTCCGTCCTCACTCGGCCTGTCTTCCTTCTCTCTTCCACCGTCGTTCACCCTTCTCTCACCCTCGATATCTCTCTTACTTCTTCAACAACCCTTCGCCCCTTTCGTCTATCGGTATCCTCCTCCTCCCTACGGTTTTCGCGCGCGATTTCTCGTTCGCTCGTCTCCTCGAGATTCCACGATTCTCTTTCTCGCTCGCGACTTTTCCCCTTTTCATCCCTCTCCACCCCGCGGTAGCAATCTCCGAGTTTCTCTCTCTTTCTATACCAGGGGATCGCGCCCCCTCGGCGCAACGCTCGTCTTCGTCTACCCACGTTCCAACCCCTGGGTGGGGAAGACAGGTACGTACCACGTACAAATTGGCACCCTTTACTCCACATTTAGAATTCCCCGCGCCTTCTTCGAAAATCTGTTCGTCGTCACAATTTCTGAATACATATTTCTTTTGACAACGTTTCGAAGCGATCGCGAACAGGTTTCTACAGTCTTCGGTAGAAGATTGCTCGCAGAACTCGGGTAGAATATGTAAACCGCTTCCGATGGTTCGCGGATATAGTAAACACTCTTTCCGCTGTTCTCATCTAAAGTCGAAAGTTTATAAACTACTTCTTGCTTATAGTTAACCGCTCGCAACGTGTCCGACGCCTATTAGTCCGTTGAGAACGCGTGTCTTCGTTCTACTCGAACAATTTCAATTAAACACTGCGATAGCTGACGACATTATATGCATTTCCAATATTACTTTCTATCGAGCAACATGGCCGTTTCGCATCGTTCCTTTTCTTTGTCAATCGAATCGATAAAATACCGATGATACGACAAAAGTTTTTTTAGACGAATGATATGGAAAATGTGTCGAAAGATGAAGACGGAAATCAATAATGGATTACGATTCGACGGCTACAGTTTTAAATGATAGTTACGAAGCAAACCGTTTTAGAAGAGAAACCGTCCGATTTCGCCGCGCATTTTCGAATAATATCGGCGCACAAGGACGTTTATCTAGTGGCGAATGGCAGGTGTCGAAGCTAGCGGACGACACGGTGCGCGTAGGAGTTGGTGATCGTTCACGAGGTTTCGGTTTGGTTGGTGTGCGTGGAACCAATACTGCCGACAGTAGCAGCAGGACATGCGCTGCGGTGCGCTCACGAAACGGGGATGGGAAGCAAGGTTTCGGGGTGCACGAACGTTCCTTGCGATCACGGTGCCCCGTTCACCTCTGACCGTTTATTAATTCATAGAAGACCATCGTCGTTTCACCGTCCAACGCGATTCGAGTTGCGCGCTTGACGTTTAAATCGAGCCGATGATTTCGAAGCAGATTCGTTCCGAGATATCGTACCTGGATGAGGAACGGTTCAACGATCCCCGTCCCGCGAGCACCGTTAATTGCCCTTGCGAACGAAACGAGGTAACGGCCGGGTCGTTGCTAAATGACCGCGATAAATTCCTCCACCCGGCCGCTCGACACCCTTCTTATCCGATTAACGTTTTCTCAGCGTCTTTCGCTTAATTCTTTCGCCACGGACACGCTTTAACGCTCCCAATGTTCCTTGAATTCGATGACTAATAGAATATGCAAAGTTACGCATAACGATATTTGAAGTAACAGATGCAGGCAGAATACTACAATTGTCGCTAATTCATTGATAACCTGATTTCAATCTCTACAAAAATCGAGAAACGGAGAGCCTCGTGGAGGAAGTGCCCGATTCGATTCAAAGTGTAACGTTCAACATGAAGACGGCAGGCAGTAAGGAGTGATGCGGAATAACGAGGAAGGTACGATGAACCTTGGCGGCCGGCAATTCTAATTAACAAAATTAATCGATGCACGGAACGGCAAAAAGCGAAAGCCGTTTTTCTGTACTCTTATCGGACGCTTCGCCTCGGGCCATCCGCTCCGGAAATCGAATCGAGTGCGGATGCATCGATGTAGCGTGAAAACAAAGCCAATCAACGGCACCGATAAATCTTCGAGACACCATTTAAATCGTCGTTTACCAAAAAAGAAATTCGTTGCTGGAGCGATCCCGGTCTTTAAACGGCCAGGGATAAGGCTCCTCGCGTATTCGGAGAGAGAAGAAAAAGGAAGAAGAATAGAAAGGGAAGAAACGTCGGAGAAGCAGCGTCGCGATGCGATGCGCCCGAATAGCTGCGCCGCCGCTCCGTTCCGCGCGATTCCACGGTATAAAGGATTCGGCTTTAAATCCGCGAGGCTGAAACACCGGAGAGAGGGAAAGGGGGTACGGGAAGACGAAAAGAGAGGCCACGAGGCGGAGAGCGGGAGAGGGAGAGGGCAGTGGTCGCGAGGAGGAGCGGGAAAGGCTGCACGGGTGCAGAGCGTTCTGGGTTTCTGGGTTCGCTCCGGTACGAAGTTCGGAAAGCTGCTGCTGTGTGCGACGAATGTAGGACAGTAGGTCAGCGCACTCCGTGACCCCCGCCGCCGCGGCCTACCCCTCTTCGGTGCATACACCCTGATGCGATACCTACGACCCTCCGAGTATCCCACTCTGCCCTCTCCACCCTCCCTCGTTTCCTCTCTCTTTTTCTCTCTCCTTCGCGCGCATTCGTACACTGTCACCATTGCTAACCCTTTGCGCCTTCCGCTTCCTCCTTTCTCCTAACCGATCGCGTTACCTTATACGCTCTACGCTACTGTTTGGCTTAGCTACTGTGCATTGAAACCCTCCTCGATCCTGGAATAACGCGCCTCGTACAAACCTCTCTATTAATCATTGGGAACGGCTCAAAAGTAGCGAGCCAAGACTGGGAATCGATGGGAAGATTTTCGTAGCAGTTCTCGCGTGTATTTACAGCTCTTTTTAACTGTACATAGTTCGTGATCAAAGTGAATTTTCGTCTTGGCCGGGATAGACGGTCAGCACTCGGCACAGGCCACGCAACGCGTGTTCCAGGTCTGATAAGCGGGATCGAACCCGGAGCCCCGACCCGTGTCTTTGTTTCCTCCTTGCAGGTGATCGTCCCGGTTATTGACTTTGCCCTCGCTTTTGACTCTTGCGCATCGTTCGACCGACCTCTCGATTGTCTATGTAAGATTGATCGCGACACTTCTCCCGCGGCGTGGTTTCGCGATTTCGAGAGTTAAAAGTCGTCTGCGTCTGGCCAGCTTCTGTCCGGTTTTATTCGGGTCGTTCGGCAAAGCGTTCTCGCGGCACGCACGATATGGCCCGCGCCGCGCCGGTCAGAGAGACGATGTACAATAGTACTGGTGCACGCGAACGCGATAAAATCAATATGACCCCCCGCTCTCCTCTCTCTCTCTCTCCCTCTCTCTCTCTGTCTTCTTTGTTCTCCGCGTGCTCTATTAATTCTTTTTCCCGTGGCTCGCGTTCTCCTGGCCGAATTCGCGTCGCGACGCCATCGATTAAACTTCGGCCCAAGTTCCCGGCCGCGACCGGGAACAGGGATCGATGCGCGACAGGTACTAAAAGCCGTCTGAATCTTTTCCCGTCTACTTCCTACACCCTATATATCGTCGCCTCTCCTCGTCCCCGTTCCCGTTCCCGACGGAATCGAGCGCGCCACGGAATTCGGGGAACGAAGCTTATTCCGGGTTTCCCGATAATTTATGACGGATCATCGAGCGGGCCGTGTTCCAACTTCGACGCCGTAATTCCGCCAGTTTTTCCCTGTTCGGACCATTATCGAACGCGCGCGAGAATAACGAAGCGAAATTAGTCGCGTTCACGAAAAAGGTCAGTGAACCGTATTGATGCTCCGGGTCGGCGTTTCGATCGAACACCGTATCTATTCCTAAATTTGTTTATCGAAACAGCACGTTTAAATTTTATGAATCGATTAAAATTCTCTTTCAATACAGTATTCTTTCCATCGATGTGTTAGCGTTTACAGATTTTACGAAGAAATCGTACGAGTAGAGAGAATTCAGTTACCTATAAATAATATCGGCTGTGTGGCGATGAGGTACTTTTTTTAAATTAGCCATATAGTGGACCAACGATCGGGCAAATTGGATCGCGAGAAAAGAGAAGTGAAAGAAGGAACGTGAAACGAGTCTAATCCATCGCAATAGGTATTCGTTAGAGGCGCTATACATCCCTCCGGAAGTAAATACTCCGGTTTTAAAGCGAAGTAAATATCTGATCCTTCTTTCCATCGAAACCCAGTTTATCCTTTACCGAGAATTCCCGAGCTAGTAATTTGGTCCCGGTAGCGGAGATTCTTATCGCGGCGAGGAAAATCGGTGATACTTTCCTACGTAGAAAAATGTGGCGCAACGCTTCCCGCAACGTCGCGTCGCGTCGCGTCGTCGTCGCCCCGTCGTCGCCGCCGCCGCCGGTAACCTCGAAGCAAATCTCGAGTATGCGAGGCGATCGTGAATCCCGGTGACGCATCGTAATCGCCCGTTACCCGCCCACGCAACCCTGTCACACGACATTCCCCCGTTTCGGACGTTTCAGAATATCGCCTGTTAAATTCTTGCGAAACCGACGTTCCAACTAACTCGTTATTCGTGGAAAGACGCATCTCTTAAATGGAAAACGGTGTTACCTACTTGAAATTCAACGATCATTCCTTGAATTCAACGATTCGATGATTCACCGAATTAATAGATCATATTGTGTAGATGTGAACTGCTGATTATGAGGTAAAACCAGCAGAATGATGGAGACTGTTTGTAGACAGCGAGCATTGTGCTCGTAGCAGCATCACCAGGGGCAATTTCTGTGCTCTATTTGCTCGAACAGGATATGTACGGCGTAGGCGACTATCTGTTGGGGCGCAGATTTTCAGGGTCCATCGGGCACGGAAAATCGAGGAGGAAGCACAGGTTGTTGCCGCGGTCCGTTGGGATAAAATACGATCGCCCGGCTGATTTACACGTTTTCAACGCGCACGTGACGTCAGTTAGACGTACGATCGATGTTATCATTCCCGGTGATATCTAAAGGACGAGGGGGCCCCCGTCAT